TTTGTGCATCAACAGGCCACAGAGGAGCTCATTGACTATCACATAGTGACCGTCTCTTGCTTCCACCAACCAATCAAGAACAATGGGTGCTTACAGATATTTATAGAGTTCAGTAAAGGTGTGAGAAGCAGTGTCCACACCCCTGGACACGTGACGCCTCCTGGTGCGTTCAAGTTGACTAGTTATTTACAGAATATAGTGGTGCAATGAGGTATTACATTGGATGGCGCGTTCACTGTAACTCTCTGGGTCAATATAAGTGGTGCAAAGTATTACATGAATGCATTTTGATTGGTTACATTACATTGAACACAATCATAGCTGTGCATTGGTGTTATTCTATTGATTAGTGTCAACATGACAGCGGTGTCCCACTATTCTCATGTCTTTATTGATCACATAGTGTCAGAATCAGGGCTGTATCCTGGTGGACACTAAATGCATTTTATTCATTGGTCTAATTCATGAAGCGTCGTCAGTCTGACTACTGTAACTCTCTCCTGCAGGTCTCCTGCTACCACCATTCCACCTCTGCAGCTCATCCACAATGCAGCAGCTCCACTGCTCTTTAACCTTCCTAAGTCCTCTAAACATGGTGCTCACGTACCGTGCTGTGAATGGATGGGGTCCAGCTTACATCCAGGACCTGGTCCAACCCGACATCCCGACCCGCACTCTCCGCTCTGCATGTGATAAACTGCTTGTTCCTCCTCACTGAGAGCAAAGGAACTCAAACAGTGAGTGTGATCCAGAATGCAACGACGTAGCGGTGATCCTACAACACTGTTCTCCTGATCTGGAAACTTTCTTCATCCACTGCAAACCCTTTTATTCCCCCCGTGAGGTCGCTTCATTCATCCTGGTCGGTGTTTACATGCCGCCGGCGGGCAACGTGCACGAGGCTCAGCGGACACTCGCCGACCAGATACGGCGTGTGGAGCGGACCAACCCGGACTCTTTAGTTATTGTCCTCGGGGACTTTAACAAAGGAAATCTCACCCATGAACTTCCTAAATACAGACAGTTTATTAAATGCCCACCAGAGAGGAGAACACGCTAGATCACTGTTACACCACAGTAAGCAGGGCTTATCACGCCGTCCCTCGTGCTGCACTGGGACACTCTGACCACGTCATGGTCCATCTGATTCCTGCATACAGGCAGAAACTAAAGCTCTGCAAACCTGTGCTGAGGGAATTCAAGAAGTGGACCAGTGAGGCGCTGGAGGATCTTCGGGCGTCCTTTGACTGCACAGACTGGGATGTTTTCAGCTACTGACAGTCTGGATGAGTTCACAGAGGCTGTAACTTCCTACATCGGCTTCTGTGAGGACAGCTGTGTACCATCATGCACCAGGGTGAGTTACAACAACGACAAACCCTGGTTCACAGCGGAACTCAGAACACTACGCCTGCAGAAGGATCAGGCATTTAGGAGTGGGGACAAAGACTTGTACACGGAGGCAAAATACAAGTTTAGCAAGGCGGTGAGAGATGCTAAACGACTGTACTCTGAGAAACTCCAACAACAGTTCTCAGCAAGTGACTCTGCTTCGGTCTGGAGAGGCCTCAAACACCTCACCAACTACAAGCCAAAAACCCCCCACTCCATGAATGACCTCCGCCTGGCAGACGAGCTCAATGAGTTCTACTGCAGACACTCAGTGTGTTTACATGATGGTATAATTGTAATCTTTGCTTAGTCGGACTATGCTATCTTTCTGGGGAAGGTGCTATTATCCCAATATACATGGCAGTGAATAAATCGAATTATTGGCCGAAAGCATGTCATATATACGATACGATAGGTGGCGATGTTTTCATTACAGCTAGTTGTGATACACACTGCATGAAAAGTGAGATTTTCGTCCCCGTAAACGCCTGGAAAACTCCCTAATTTCCGACAATTTCCGACAATTTGCAACCCGCGCATGTCGCGTTCGTCTGTGCCACAAATTGTCAGAAACGAACCATGACGTAGGTGGAGAGCTGGCGGAGGTGCGAATGGCCCGAATTAGCATATGAATGCAGCGAAGCCGCGGGTGGCCGAGCGGGCTTGAATATCTTTACTCCTTATTGGATGAAACCACAACTTACGAACAAATAAAATCACTCGTGATTGGCAGCAAAACCACACCTGGGCAGACCAAGCTTGAGTTTCCTCGTTCATGATTGGATGAAACCACAACTTTCAATCACTCGTGATTGGTTGGCAGATCTGTCGCTATTGGTCACCCGCCTCATTTATTTATATATTCATATTATGCTGTATATTCATTTCATGGTTATCATATGCAGGCTACTACACTATTATTAGGATACCAACCAGGACATCAATGAATTTATAGAGAAAATGAACATTTGACACATGTTTATGCAAAGAAAGAGCTTTATTAACAACACACAAACAACAACTACATACAAAGTGAGGATCTGCCCACACTTGGGTAACGGCGGTTTAAAAACTACAGCTCAGTAAACTGTCCGTTTGCCTCCTCGCGGTTGTAGATCGTCACTGGCGCCGTGTTTTCTGAGGCAGGTCTGTTGTGCAGGCGGCTCGTGTGCGTGTGGCGACCGTACAATCCACCCCGAGACCCCGCCAACAACGCCGTCCCCTCCGTCCGACGTGAGCTCCACGGTGGCGGATTTCCAGAGTTCCACCTCGTCATCAGCCAGCACACTTTGTCTCGATTCCAGCAGCTGTAAAAACAACAATGAATCAGTACTGTGCGATGCGTACGGACACAACACATCGATCAATGCACCTGAAACAAGTCAGCAAATAAACTCTGACCGTCTTTCTTCTCGCTCGACTCCGCGCTGAATCCTTCGCAGCTTCCGCTCGCAATGAGTGTTCCGCCTGAACCTGAAGCTCCTGCGTCCCGTCTCACAATACGTCTCACAGGGAGCTGGAAAACAATTAAATGAGTGTGGTATGAATACAAAAAAATCAAACGCAAGTCACAGTAGCATTTAACAAGGAAGGAGAAACAGTGTCACTTACACACAATGACGTCTAAATCTGGACTTTTCCCGGAGCAAATACGAGGTCACCACCTCATTATGAGGCGAGATTAGTCTGTGAAAACAAAATGTACAGTTATGATCGGTATCTATACGTATATATTCCCTTATAGCGCAGAATGAAAGCATATTCTGTAAATCTGACCCTTGCTCCGGTTCGTAGCGCCTGTAGTTTGTCTCGGCGTTGTGAAGACGGCGCAGCGCTTCCTGTAAACGACACGGCAAAGAAAACACACTTTAATAAAGCTGTTTCTGCTCACTTGTAAGGCTACTAGGCTACTCTTAGCTTAGCTTGAGGCTACGCTACTTTTAGCTTAGCTTGCAGTCATCGAACGTATTCTTACCGCTATCGTGGGATCGTGCGCCCGTCTCCTCTTCTTTGAGTCGGTTCCTCTCCTCCATGGACAGAAACCTGGAGAGTCCCGAACGCTCCAGCGGAGCGAACCGCTCGTTGATATCGGCAGTTTGTTGTTGGCGTTGACGAGACGATCCACTGAGAGCTTTCAGCAGCTTCTTCTGTCTGTCTGCGGACTGGCCGAAAGTTGGTGACCGCGGAGAGGAGTTGAAGGCGAGTTGAACGCGAGACGTCGTCCCGCCATTATTCACGAAGCAGCAAAAACCAAACAAAGGAACTGGAGATACAGTTCTTCTGAATATAGTAACACACGCGTGTCTGTTTGTATGCTCGTCTTGCAAGTACTGCTGTCTGAGTCATGCCTATGACCTCACACGTGATTGGACGAGGAGTCTAAGGGTCCTCCAATCACATACGAGGTTGTTATACGGAAGGACCAGTATTTTAGGAAGACAAATGGTTGGGACTTTGAAACAGCTGATATGCTTTATGTAAAGCAGTGTTTTGGTGTCAGCAGAACGACTTTCCCTAGAAAACTGTACAGTGGTGCCTCTTTCTCCATTCCACCAGACAATATAGAGTCTGACAGACATGCAATGTATCATCACATGTACCCTTGTGTCACTGAGGTTGAATGTTTTGCTATGACATGTAAACGGGTAACATATATGAATGTAACTTACTCAATCGATAGATGCAGAGCATAAAGGTCAGCATATGTTCATAATAAGTGGTGTGGAAACACTAACAGTTTTGAGGAACCCGTTCTTGACCCTCTAGCAGAACTACGACCAGCCATTATAAAGCAGTTTATAGTTGTTAATGTTGTGTCAAAGGGTATGGCATTGAAACATGTTCTTGCACAAGTTTCCTGGCTTCATCTCCACCCGGACAGACATTTTTATGGAAAGTCAATAGAAGTTTGGCTGTGTACGCTAATGGCGTACACTGTAATCTAGCATATTTGAATTAAATAAATCAATTCAAGCTAAAATGTAAGAGTCTATAATTAGGCTACTGAGCCTGATCTATTTGTACCAGAGATTTTCTTACCTTTTAAAAAAATGTCACCTGGTGTTACGTCCGGCTGCTCCATCAGTGTTTTCTCCTCCCCCATGTCTTTGTTTCCAGTCTGTTCTTCCCAGGTGTGGTGAGTTGCTGCTGACGATGCAGGCGTGGCCAGCTGTTCCTCCAGCCAATCCAGCTCTCAGCTCTGCTCTTTAAAATGTTTGTTTGTGAGAGCTTGAAAAAAGAGGCGGGTCTTGTGTTTTGGGAGAGATTGAGAGTGACATTGATTTAGAAATTGAAAGAATATATGGTTTATGTTGTTTGTTAAACTGTCGTCTATTGTACTCCAGGGGCCTGTTTCAGAAAGGAGGTTAAGTGAAAACTCTGAGTATGTTAACCCTGAAATGAGGGAAACTCTGAGTTTTCTGTTTCAGAATGGGAGGTATGTTAAACCTGAGAAAGCAGAGTAAGTCAAGCCTGTTTCAGAAAGAGAGGTAACTTATACTCAGAGTCAGTTACCATGGCAACTTACTCTGTGAACCTAACCTGGTCGGGAGCAGGTTTTCTTCGGGAAACCCAGAGTTTATTTCGTCTCCCCCCCTTTTTTAAAGAGGAAGTGGTATTTAATCACCTCATTCATTCTTTCGGTATTCATTCATTGCGCACATTTCAGTCACGCAGAGCGCATCAAATCAAGTGAATGAAATGGCATGTCCTTTTATGGACGATCCTGTGGATGAAGAGGCTGCATTAATCCGTAGGGAGTTGCATTTACGTCGGGAGAGGATTTTGAGACCCAGAGTGGATTTTTTGTCATATCCATATTCATTTTTATTTGAGCGGTACCGTTTTTCTTTACAGTCAATAAGATACATCCATAATCTCATCCATCCTTACATCAGAAACATCAGCCATCGCGGCCGTGCTCTAACATCCGAGCAGATGCTTTGCGTTGCATTACGTTTCTTTGCAAATGGTAGTTTTCTGTATAACATTGGGGATGCAGAACATATCAATAAGGCTACTGTTTGCAGAGTTGTAAGGAAAGTGTGCCTCGCTCTTAAGCGCTTTCTCCGAATTTTTGTGCTGTTTCCTGGGCACAAACCCGTGAGAGCTAACACTATTTGTAATAATTTCTGGTGTATTGAGTAGGCTACTTACAACTGCCTGTGGTTCTGTTGGGACAGGAGGCTCCAAAAGACTAATTTTACCATCAGAATCTGTTGGGACCAACGAAAAACCCACCCCAAAGTAAAATAAATGGAAATATCACAAATAGCCTATATAAAAACACAACACATAGGTAGACCTCTTACATTTTATGAAGGCACTTAAATCTTCTGGAGTGACTGGCTCTGATGAAGTCCCTCCAGGAATTCCCTCAGCCATTGGCCTTCCAGCATTCAGGCTCAGGGCCATCTCCTCTGCATTTGTCAGAGGTGGTGGTGCAGGTCCTCCCCCCGTTTTGCGAGCCTCTGCCTTCTTTCTGTTGGCTGAGTAGTCAAATGAGAATGAACATTTAGACCCATGTCAAAAATGCTGCTGCACTGCTAAACACTGGATGCTATTTAGTCATTTATATGTCAAATGTTTGTAAAGTCAGGTAGACTACAACCATGATATGTTCAAGCCTTACCTGATTGAATTATGTTTTTATATTTCATTTTCAGCTGCTGCCATGTTCTTTTAATGCCTGCAGGATTGCACCTACATGAAAATTAAAATTAGGTTGAATAACACACTGTTCTTCCAGTTTCACTTCTGATATTATAACAGTTGGGCAAGTCACTTATATTACTAACTACAACTGGCTTCTTCAACAGTGTAATTAGATTAATGTAATAATGACTATCTCTAGAAAGTATTGGTCTACTTATTACTAATTACTTTCTAAATCCCATATCAACCTCAACCACTTGAACAATACAAGGAGAGACAAGAAACTGCACTTTTAATGCTTTCAAATAAACATTATACAATTGCATGAATTATTCTTGAAAAAATATATCTTTTAAAATTTGATGTTAAATCCACTATTGTTTTATACAGAATTGCTTTATAGTTTATGCAGCATTTAATGCAATTACATCAGATTTTACTTTAAATTACGGAATTAAATTACAGTTTTTAGATTACATAGAAATTAATTACACACAACACTGTATAACAGTAATTCAAATGTAAACTTACGCATTGACTCGAGCAGCTATTTTCTCCCAAGCTAACTCTCTGTCCTTCGCCGCTGCAGCCGTGTTGCTTTTTTTTTTAAATATATGTTCGTACTCTCCATATGCTTGCATAAGCACATCCAGTTCTGCTGGTGAAAAATATGAAGACCTCTTTTTGTCTGGCGCTGTTGCCATGGTGACTCGTAATATCTGCGCTCCATTGATAATGGCTTTTTATAGTTGTGGTGCACGCGCTTAACTCAGAGTAGGTCAACTCAGAGTTGATTGAACTAACTCATTTCAGCTGTTCTGTAACCGAAAGCTCAGAGTTTCCCATCTCAGGGTAAGTCAACTCAGAGTTCAAGTTTTAACTCAGAGTTGGTTGAACCTCCTTATTGAAACAGGCCCCAGGTCTGTGTTTATGTACTTACCCCAAGAGCGCTGTGGAGCAGGGCTAGGTAAGATACCCTGGGGTCTACATACACCCGTAGGGAAAACCTCTGTTAGATACACTAGATTAGAAGCCAGCGGCTGTCACCCAGTGTATTGTAGCAGTGAGGTAAGTGGTGTGATAGGTTAGATTGTGGTAGGTAGGTTTAGAGGGTTAGGGAAGCTCAGGGTCCTTTGTTTTGTTTCTTTGCTTTGACAGACCGCTGGCACCGCCCTACTCCACAGGCCTTGTTACCTGTTAGTCGTCCTATCCCGTGTCTTTGTACTTGTGTGTAATTGTTTGTTGAAATGTTTGTATTGTTATTGTAGGGGAAATAAACCCACCATAGCCATCCATTGTAGTAGTGTCCTTTTACTTATTGTGATCGCAAGCTGGGGCCTTCGCACACGGGTTCAGAATCATCCAGAGGGCGTGGTCTTGGGCAGTTACGCCTTCCTCCTCTCCCGAGCCGGGGTGGAGGCGTAACACCTGGGCTAAAACTCTGACCCTGATTTGCATTTGTATAGCTCACAGCATTTTCATTTACATGTCAAAGCCTCCCCTAGAAATAGGAGGAGGGGGGTCATGGGGGGACAACTGCCAAGGGAGGCCCACATCAATTTCTGACAATTTACGGCAGTGAACAGCCGCAAACCTGAAATTCCACGACAATTTACAGTGCCGCATACTGCCGAAAATCCCACTTTTCATGCAGTGGATACGATAGGTGGCGCTGTTTTCACTACAACTAGTTGTGATACAGCCATTTCCGCTTCACCGCTTCACCACTACCAACAACAACTAACAACAACATCAGACAACATTATGAGAAAGATGGCGAACGGAGAGCAAGGTGAAGCTACATCCCTCTACTATCTGTGCATGATGTTAATAGGAGCACAGCGAATGCGAATGGCGCTATTGGTTGATTTGATAACGGAGAGAAGACGCCGTCGGGATCTCAAGCATGCGCAAAGACGCAAAGTCCAGTTCCTCATCCGATTCACCGTTACGACTCAATGACTACAGGCCCGTCGCCCTGACCTCTGTAGTCATGAAGTCTTTTGAACGGCTAGTCCTGACTCACCTGAAGTCCCTCACCGACCTCCTCCTGGACCCCCTGCAGTTCGCCTACAAAGCCAACATCGTTGTGGCGCAAGGGTTAGAGAAGGTGTGCTGGGAAGCACAAGGTTGGTGGTTCGAGTCCAGGCTGCCCCATGTTCCATGTCAAAGTGTCCCTGAGCAAGACACCTAACCCCTAATTGCTCCCCAGGCAAAATGGGAAAAAGCCATGGGTTTAAAGTGTAATATAAGTTGCTTTGGATAAAAGCGTCTGCTAAATGACCTGTAATGTAACAAGTCTGTGGGTGATGCCGTCAACATGGCCCTCGAGGAACCTACGCCAGGATCCTGTTTATGAACTTCAGGTCTGCCTTCAACCCCATCATCCCTCTCCCAGCCGCACGTGCCAAACTCCACCTGCAAGTGGACAACACATGAAGCTGAGGAAACATGTCTCAGCCTCTCGGACCATAAGCACCGGTTCCCCCCAAGGCTGCGTTCTTTCCCCTCTGCTCTTCTCCCTGATTTCCGGATTTCCGGCGGAACAGAGCCCACCCTCCCCCGTCACTATTGGGGATTCCTTCCGTTTCCTGGGCTCCATCATCACCCAGGACCTCAAGTGGGAGCTGAACATCAGCTCCATCACCAAGAAGGCTCAGCAGAGGTTGTTCTTCCTGAGGCAGCTGAAGAAATTCAACCTGCCAAAGACGATGATGGTCCACTTCTACACGGCCATCATGGAGTCCATCCTCTGCTCCTCCATCACCGTCTGGTACGCTGCAGCCACAGCCAAGGACAAGGGCAGGCTGCAGCGTGTCCTCCGCTCTGCAGAGAGGGTGATTGGCTGCAATCTGCCGTCCCTGCAGGACTTGTTCGCTTCTAGGACCCTGAAGCGAGCTAAAAAGATCGTAGCCGACCCCTCCCACTAACCCATAGCATTATTTTTTATTTCATTCCTTGTGCACTCTTGTCTTGTTGTCCACTGTCCACTGTCACGCACCAACCGCCGAGTCAAATTCCTTATATGTCTGACATATTATGGCAATAAATCTTTCCTGTTTCTTATGAGCCTCACTAAGCTCTTTAACAGATGAACCAGATGAAGAACATGATGATTGGTTGTATTGTAACATTAAGTGAATATGGATTGATGTCAGTGAGGGATTTCACATTCATTTGTGGTGTGAAAACATGCCAGGTCTCCCTGCTCGATGTCGCACCGTCTCATTCATTCACTTGGCTCATGACGTCCACCTGAATGTTCCTCTTTGGCTAAAAAGTGCCCTAAATCGGTTGGGAAATCTCGCATTGCCTGAAACTGCTCATTAGCGGCGTTTCCGCGCTGTTTTTAGTCGATGGCCACCGACCTAAAGACTGAAATGACAACCAACGGTCGCACAAAGTCCAGCTGTTATTTAGATCACCGCACTGATATGAACGCTCAGGTCGATGTAACATCACATTATGGCTCAATTCAGTGCAGCTCGTGACTCACTCTCCACCAATCAGAGCGCTTGATTTCACCCGTATTATAAAAGAATATACGATACGGGACATGAAACATAACCAGTAGTCCAAGTGCAAGCAGCCAGTTGATGGTGAATTTATGCTACTTTGTTGAATTCATATGTTTGTGAATGTGACTTTGAAAGAGTCAGAGCCTCCAGCCACCAACCTCACCGCACGTCACTGCCAGCAGCTCTGTGAAAGGTCCAACGTCTAGTTTCAGAAGATCTAAGGAGACTTCTACAGGTCAGAGGACCGTCTGAAGAGCTTTGCAGTACTTTCATTAGAATTTGTATTTTCGATGCAGAGGTCTGCAGACGTTGTTTTTCTGACCCACAGTAAGAAGTAAAACCAGATGAAACTGATGACTAACTGTCACTCAACTAATAAACTGTCCATCGACAGTCTTCAGCATCTGGTTTTCATGATGATCAATGACAGAAGCTGGAGGAATTACAGTTTGTGTTCTACATTCAGTCACATCTTACTGTGTGCAAGCAGGCTGCTTTACTGGCTGTTCTTACCCACAATCCTTTGCACAGCAGGTATATGAGCCAGAGGGTTCAAGGTGCCATGTGATGAGGAAGTAGAACACTGCATGTAACAACATGTCCTTTGTGATTTGGCAGGCGGCTTCAGACTGATACGTGGGGAAGTTGTTCCGCCCCAACAGGTTCAACCTGATCATCAAAGTGGAGTGAAGAATAAAAACACTCTCAGCTCAGACTCTGTTGTCTTAGTGGATGTTTTTATTTAATATAAACTCTTCACTACATTTTTTACAAAGGTTTCTGCTTCCTCACGTGTTCCCTACTAGTCTACATGTAGAAGAAGACCAGGTGACAAAGAGGGACGTGCACGGGTCCTCTGAACCATCTGGTCCAACAACAGCATCCAGTCTGTTGTCATAGCAACTCTTTACAAGGTGAAAGGATCGTTCCACAGATGCTGGTTTTCATCCTGAAAGACTCTTGTTGAGCCGTGAGGAGGATTCTGTTCACGAGGACCTTTGACCCGGTTAACAGCTCAGACTGAGACTCAGTCAACCAGTCAGACTTTGGACTTGACGTCAGGACCCACCCTCTGTGATAAAAGATAAGAAGCTGATAAGAAGTCACTTCACTCCGTCTGATGGAAGCTGAAGTGAAGCACGGAGCTCCTTTTCTACACGGACCTGCTGAGGACAGAAGAGAGCTGCTTACTGAGGAAGTTCATGTCTACTAGCTCAGTAAGTGCAGCTGTGATTGGGTGAATGACATCATTGATGGTTGTGAAGGTGTGATTGTTTAAAGCTGGGAAACAAGATGGCGCCTGTGTGAGCAAGCAGAGAGAAGCTGCTGTTAGTCTGAATGATGACGCTGTGATGAAGAAGAGGAGCTCAGTCTGATCTGGGGTCTGTGAGGACTGTTACTGATGAGGAGGGGAAGGTAGCAGACGGAGGGGCACTAGGACCCAGCAGAAACCACAGAGCTCACCTGGGCCTTTGTTCCTGAAACACACCTGAGAGACGCTC